AATTGCCGTTCTATTAAGCCACCGTCAGGAAAAATTAATATAGCTGGTTCTTAGATTGACCTAATGTTGTTTATTTCTTTGTTTCACCGCTATCCTGGTGGCGAGCGGTAGGGTTGTATGTTCGTCTTAACCTCTTTGTTGCGTATCTGTTTGATTTTTCTCCCCTATTTTGTCTGTTAAATTAGGCCGTTTTATTTAGCTCAATGAAAGTGAGTCAATAGTAAGAATGTGTCGCATACTACACATTGAAATTAATTCTCAGTATCAAGAGCTCGAACATGATACTTCTCGAACAATAACGCCCTCCTAATATCATATATCGATAGGAATAATTACAAGTAATCAAGATCGAATTGGAATGAACTTTCACATCATCGATCTACAAATAACTTGACCAATTAGTTTAATCAAGAAAGTCTATGATTGATTGCTTGCTTGATTTTGTGTTAATTCTTCCCTTTTTTCTTGACTCGTTTTGTTTCAGGGCCGGATGTTCGTGTACCTTGAGATGATAACCCGCCAGAATATCATTTAAACACCATCTGTAGAAGATATGGAAGAATCAGAGACTTGCACGTATGCTTGTTTCACAAGCAAAACGATCGAATATGTGTCACGGTTACAGTCGCCGTCGCAGTTCGTTAATCAATCAAATTCCACGTTTTAAAAGATATGGGCTACGTACAGAGGTTGTCGTGAAAAGCTCGCTAGCTAATAGCTATCTCCACGGCTTGGATTATTGTCTTGATAATTGATTTTGACGAGTGAACAAAAGATAAAAGAAAGCTCGATTATTCATGGATCACCATGCATAATGGTTCACAATTTGGACTGATATTGATCGGAGTGGAGTTGTTTTTTGGGCTAAAGGTGATAGCGGCCGATCGTCGGGAAAAGTAGTTGATTATAATTTGCAATAATGGAGTGATGAGGTCGCCATAGATGGCTAGACAGACAGCATTATTCTAGATATGATCGTACGTTGGGAGTGTTCATCTTGAAAAGGATTCATATTGGTGGCTTAGCTTTGTTCATATATGTGTAGGAGGAAATGGTGGCTTTTTTTTGCGACTTGTCTAAGTGATAAGCCTTCACATCATCAAGTAAGTAGCAAAGGCCAAAGGTCACCCATTTGCCCCTTCGAATTCTCCCACGGTTATTGAGTAAAGGAAAAGTGATCCAAGGAGCCGGGAGATTAAGAAATCTTTGAGCAACTGATCTTATTCATTGAAAACATTGAAGATCGTGGTTGCGATCTCTAAGAACCTGTATATGCGAGATTCGACCTTATATGAATAGCAATTGACAATCTCCACGTATCAACACACGTATGGACTACATGAGCTAGGTTTACTATATGGTTAATGGGATGCGTATGAATAGACGAGATTGTACTTCAGAGTATGTCCTCCATTCTGCTCTTTTGTTTTTGTGGTAGACTATCTTCCTTCTGATTGTGGATAGCATGGAAGGTAGTAGGAAGCACAAGAGATACCGAATAATCAATGACATGAAGGTGTATAAATTAATGGGTACATGCTAAATATGTGTATCGATGTAGTGTACGTACGATGAACGCACGATAATAGATCATGACATGATCCATGTGTGCTAATTATGAAGCCATGAATGTTGTGTACTTAGTGGTGAATATGTGCAAATGCCAAAGAGTAGCATGCATGGTGAATGTACGTATAAACCAAGTTATGGTTATCCAATAAGAACGAAAATCAACTATAATGGAGAATAGCTCTATATAAGTTAAGCAAATTTAACATTGACCCTAAATAACAAAGCTTAACGAGCCGCCATTTATTCTCAAGTAGAGGTGGCAATTTCAATCCAATCCACCAATCCAATCCATCAATCCATTAAAAATATCCACCTAATCCAATCCATTTAAATCCAATCCATTTGATCCAAATCCAATTGGATTGGTGGATTCATGGATTGGATCCATGGATCATTGGCAAATTACGGTTTAGTACCTATAATTTTTATTTTTTACATTTTGGTACCTAAAATTTAATTTTTATACGAAAAATATCATTGGAAAATTACGTTTTGGTACCTAAAATTTTTCATTGTGACATTTTAGTACCTAAACTTTTTATATTTTACATATTGGTCCTTGGTTGAGGATTTCATTTGGATTCATGGATAATCCACCAATCCACTTGATCCAATCCATGAATCCACCAATCCATTAGATCCAATCCATTTGATCCATGGATCCACCAATCCAATCCACCAATCCACCAATCCAATCCATTTGCCACCTCTATTCTCAAGAGTGTACACACCAAGTATTGGACCTAACTAATTAAAACCACCGGTCAATTATATACCTAATTAAAGTCCCGCATCCATACTTTAATTACATGAAAGTCGTAAGTGTATATGCAAACCCTAGAATAATTAACTAGCTATATTTAGAGCAGGCGCAGCCTTATTAGGACGGGAAAAGCCGGATTACCTTTTTAATGACCCATTATTATACGTCCCCTAAGCCTAATTACCCTAAATAATTATAAAATTATCAAACACGACGTGCTAGCTAACTCTAGGGTCTTTGGTAGCTATTGGAATTAATTAAGCAATTAATTTGACCAAATCATATCTTGTTAACGGTACTTAGTACATATACAATTATACACCACTCTCGAAACCAATAACAACGGTTGAATTAAACCTTAATAGAGTAAAATATAGAGAGAAAATGCGGTGAGTAGTGGGGGTTAGTCGTTGCTGTAGCTAGCTAGACAGAATTGGGGCATGCAGTCTCCAAATTGATCACGTAATTACCAACATAAATACTAATTAATTAACTCAAAGATGGTCCCTGATATGGATGTGTTTCCTACCGCACAAACACGCGTGTCAGAATTCAATTGGTCTCAATAACTCAAGTCGTTGGGAGTTGTTCATGTGTAGATCTTAATTACTTCCTTACATGTCTTCTCAAACGAAAAGTCTAGCTTATGAGGTTGAAGCTAGTTTGGACAGACTCGTTATACCACGTGTGTTGAAGATAATAGTTAATATTATGGGTCGTGAGGATTTGACCACGTGACATAAAGACAACTCGACTCTAATACCATGTAAAAAATCAGCAAGTTCCATTAAGTACACGACTAGCTCAATGTAATTGACTGATGGCCTCCTTCAGAAGGTGAAACTTTTTTTACTCCCATGTATTAAATTTTTACGAAAGTATCAAAGGAGGAATATAATGAAAATCAATTGTATTGGTTCAAGTGTGGGAGTAATATGAGATCAAGTTAATCGACTATAGACTTTTGTTCCAAATTGATGGTGACAAAGTATTAGTGATAAATAAATAAATAATACGTGCTTTTAGTGACTAGTTTTTGTGGTTGCGAAAAGTGGAGTCGTTGTTGTGACTATTGGTGACGATAAAAACAGTAAATGCATAAAAACATCCAATTCAAAAGGAGGGGAAACTTTAATCATGAAAAATAAAATAGATAAATTAAGTCATTGTCATGGTTTGGATTATCATCCATAATCTATCTCCATCTTTCATAAATCATTCATAATTGTCTTCTTTAATAATGACAATATTAAAGACGAAAATGGGAGATGACTCCTACACCACATAACCTAAAAACCTACGTTTAATAATTTCAAACGCATCAAAATTTAGGGTGCCTCTAAACATTCATGAGTTGGATCTTAATGTCATGCCAAATAAATTAACTAAACAACTAACTCCATAGATATTCGAGTAAAACCGATAAATTTGAATCTGGTGAACACAATAAAATATAATTAAGGTAGATTATTACGATCATTTCAATACGATACACATTAAAATGTTTTCGGGGAATCATAAAGCAATTAAGGAGTAATTCACTACTGCATGTTAGCATTTTTCACATCGGACGATCACGTTGTACACAAATCATTCCACTCAACCCCTTTGGCACTTTCGCAACCAACCCTTCTAATGGGTACGTACGACCCGACGACCGACTACAAATCGAAGAAACTTTGGTCTCTACGTATTATCATTTTAGCGTAGTCTTTCTACATATTCTAACTTCCCTTGGCAAGAAAGTAACTTGGGCAGGAAGGCGGTTGCTGGACCCAAAACTGTCTATATAGCCAGCCAGCTGTGATCTTTAATGACCGGACCACTATCGGCAACCAAAAATGGCCCCCCTCCTCAAAGTGAAAGAGGTTCGCGATCCGACCTTATTGAAGCCAAAACGTGGACCTTTTGGCCACCAATGGCAATATCATGATATTGTCTACCTAAAGAACTTAAAGTCGAGATTTTGTAAAGGAGCTTTTGATCATCGATCGAGAGAAAAAAAACAAAATGGTGATCGGATTCAAAGTGTTCAAATGGGTAATCATTCATGTCGACCCATAAATTACGCCCTCCTTTTGTGACCAAATCTCCCGGACCATACGAGCAGTTCGACGTATATCTCGTAACATCAAGTTACTTGTAATTGGCAGGCAAAAGTATCATATACGACTGATTCGAAGAAACTAAATACGATTATTGTAGATGTGCTGTAATTTTTGGACCGAAATGGTGATATGTGTTGTATACCATTTTATCATAAATTACATTAAAATTTTGAAGCCAAACACCTAACTATTAAAAATTACTCCTCGCCAAATATCGTTTGTAGCTTGTGTTGTATGAATGGAATCTCCATCTAAGATGTCATCTCACTGCGCAAAGATACAACTAGCTAGTTGATAATAAACGTAGATTAATTATCCAATATTGGACCAAATGGCACGATACTAGCCAAGTATCGTAACAAAACCTTCCCTTAATTAATTATACCTACTTAATCCGTATAAATATTGCTAAATATCATGTATCATGCGCTGATGCGCATAGGAAACCCCCTATGAATACCCGCCATTTGTTTACCGACCAATACTATAATCACTGCTTAAACATCATCATCCTCACCATCCCCACGTATAATTAACAAAAACCGGGACAAAATCGATATTATTTTATCCAATAATCGTTATCATTACCATCATCCCTCCCATTAATCGAGTCATTACAAAATTCTGAATTCCGTCACGACAAATAACAACTTGGTGATTAATTAATTCATTACTTTATAATGACAGCAATAAAGAAAACAAAACGGCAACATTTCAACAACAGCTGAACCGGCTTCACCGGCCACGACAGGATGGCCGGTCACCAGATCGCCGGCCGGTCGCCATCATTTAATAATAATAATAATTAACCTTCTAGTTACCCTCTAATTTCTGTCTAATTAATCCATGTCCCTCGATGATCCCAAAATTCGTACTACTCATCTTCATTTAGAAGTGTCCGTATGTACTCTTCTTCTTCTTCCCTATTACGTACAACTTTTAAATTTCCATTATTAATATTCACAATTTAATTTTTTTTTAAATCCTTCTTTCGCCGTCCGACGATCGATCACATCAAGGAGCAGGCGTTGGGATTCTCGTCGCTGAAGAACTGAGGCGCGTGGCCGGGGTGCTGTGGCCCCACCATCATCGGGTACCCCGCCGGCGCCGGCGGCCCCATCATGTACGGCTCCTGATGGTGCCCGTAGCCACCGTACCCGCCGCCGCCGACGGCGGCGTTCATCATCATCGGCGCGTACCCGTGCTGGGCGTACTGCGGCTCCATCGCGTAGTGTTGCATCTGCTGACGTGGCTCCACGTAGTAGCTGCTCTGCCCGTACGACCCCTCGCCGGCCCAGTAGCTAGACTCCGCCGCCGGCGGGTAGCTACCGTAGTACTCCATCTTGTTCACCTCCACCTTCGCTGCTCCTCCGCCGCCGCCGCCGCCGGCGGGAGCAGCCGCGGCATCTACCTTCTTCCCGCCGCCGTCACCTTCCTTCTTCTCTCCCTTCGGCGCTTGACCACCACCGCCGCCTCCTCCTCCTTCTTTCCCTTTCTCCTTATTATCCTTCTTCTCGCCTCCTCCACCGCCGGCGGCGGCGGCGGCGTCCTTCTTCTCAGCCGGTGGCGGGACAACATCCACCGTCCGCTTGAGCTTCTCCCTCAGGTAAGGAGCCAGCTCCTTAACGTCCATCGTACCTTTCACCGTTACCAAGTCCTTGGCTCCGTCAACTGCCACGCTGGCAACGCCTGTGGATTAGGAAGAATCGAGAGACAAACGCCACGTCAGATCATCATCACCACTAATTTTTTTAAATATTGCCACCTAATTCTGACTTTCAGAAATGGTAACCACCCACCAATATATTTAAATTTAAAATCTTAATTACAGTTTGATTTGAGTTTTTTAAGCTGACCTTTGATCTTGAGGATGATCTTCTTCATCTTGTGGATGCATCCGTCGCAGTGGGTTCTGATCTTCAGCACAACGGTACTCTGTAACCGCAGAGGATAAAAACCCAGAGATTAATTAAGCAATTGAAACGGGGATTTAGTATTTACGGCATTAATAAACCTCGCTTTAAGAGTTTTTAAAAACGGCTGGATGTATTAGTTGGCATTCATTAATTAATTAATGACGCAATAAAGTAATTAGAAGTAACTACCTCTTTAGGTGGAGCCGGTTTCTTCTCCTCCGGTTTTTTCTCCTCCGCCTTCTTCTCTGCTTTCTCGCCGCCGCCTCCTCCTCCCTTCTTCTCGCCGGCGGGAGGTGCGCCGCCGCCTCCACCACCACCGCCGCCTTCCTTCTTAGGCTGGGGCGAGACAATATCCACCTTCTTCTTGGTTTTCTCCTCCACTCTGGCCTTCACCCGGCCGGGATCCACCTTCCCGGTCACCGTCAGTTTGTTGGACGAACAGTCCGTTTTCACGTCTTCCACACCTGCCAAAAAAAAGAGGCGTCTCAGCAACCGGTTTGAATCTAATTTATCACAATCTCGATTTCTTTAATTAATTCTCAAGCGAATTCCGATTCAGATCTGAAATCGATCGGGGAAGAGAGCCGAGGGATGAATGGAATTTACCCTCCATTTGCTTGAGAGCGCGCCGGATTTTCTTCGCGCATCCCTCGCAATGCATGTCCATCTTGTAGACGGAGACGACCTTCCCTCCGCCGTCGTCCTTCTTCTCTCCACCGCCGGCCGCCGGAGCGGGCTTCTTCTCGCCTTCGCCCTTCCCTCCTCCGTCTTTCTGCAAACACAGGACAGAAAACAAAAAAACTCGTCAGGATTACAGCGGACACAGCCGGAGAAATCGATTTTTGTTCCGGCCGGAATTCCGTTGAACGGAAGGGAAACAGAACGAACCTCGGCACCCATTGGAATCAGGAGTTTCTCTTGTTGAACTTTGGGTAGATAATAATTGGAGTATTGGACTCTGTTTTGGTAGTAGAGAGATCAGAGAAGTGAGGATTTTCGAGGAAGTTTGTTTATTTGAAGGGAGCTAAGGGAGGAGGGAAGGTTGGAATATATATAGGGGAATGGCGGTGGCGTGAGTTTTCACTTTTCATATTATGGGATGGAATGATGTGTTATGTTATGTATGTATGGTATGAATGGGATGGGAAATGGGGGAAGGAGGCAAGGGGCGTGCCGCCTGGTTGGACTAATGGTTGTCTTGAAACGACGGCTTCATGACAAAATCCATTGGTTGGAGCCTTGGAGGGGTTTTCTTTGACTTGACCCGGCGAGGGGCCCTCTCGTCATTTCGGAATTGACTGGATTTATCGTTCTGAAAATTATTATACCGTTATCTTTTTTATAGCATTTGGCTCTTGAACGTGTGAGTTATCGAATTTTATGTTGTACGTGTTTTCATCATCACTTAAAAAAGCGTTAATTATTTTTACGTTGTTTCATTGCTGAAGTTAATGTTCATACGTGAAAGTTGAGAGAGGTTGGGGGGGTCGGAAAGGTGAAACGAACAAACCCCTTCCGGTTGGAAGGGCGCCCTCGTACAGGACATCGGTTGGTGTTTGGTTAGGGCTAAAATATGTGGAGTGAAGGCTATTGCGCGTGCCACTAAATGAATTTCGTGGGGGGATTTGATCGATTCGTTAATGGTTTAAAACATTCAAATTGATAAGGTCGTCAATGATGTTTTTCATTATATACCTTTATGTTGCTCTGTTCTTTGATCGGGCTTAGTCCAAATCATCAATCGGAGGATCGTTAGTTGTTGATAAAACTTTAGTTTCCGTTGATACCATGATAAGTAGGTCATGACCATGGTTAATTAGTTGTTTTTCATTAAACCATGGTTTTAAAATTTAAACAAAGTATACCATAATAAAACAGTATAAGCTTAATCACTAATACGCGAGTTTACCAACACAATTTGTCAGTAATGGGATTTGTATCACAGCTCAACTTATTACAATTTTGGGTTATTTGGATTTCACATGGATTCTCCAACTGTATTTCTTTGTTTATAGTGTCCACGAGAGACCTCCGTCAGGTGAAAATGGAACAAACTATAAATAAATAAAAATTAGCCTGGACGTGGTGTGGCTCATATCCGGCCGTCTTATGCAAAACACAAGGAAGGATGGATATTTCATATTTCCTAATGTTTTTTTATTTATTCTTATCTACTTCCCCGCAAGTTAGATGTGAAAATGAAATAGATATTTGGACTCTGCTAATTTTGTTTTATATATATATATATGGGTCAGAGAGCAATTAAAAAGTAATCAAACCAACCACCATTGATTAGAGAGAAAAAAAAACAGTGAATTTGTTTTCTTGGAAAATTGAACTAGTTTCGGATTAAAGTTCCCTATAAACCATGCTTGCAAATTGGGGTTATACGAATATAATAATTATATACATACTTTTTTATCATTTTTTATATGAGAAAGTTCAATCTAAAAATGGATTAATTCTCCCATCTTCAAATACCCAATAAACTCATAAAAATAATTAGCATGAGCATATAATAATCGTATCCATAGCCATCATGCATAGTGATAAAGCAGGAATGATGGTCGACAAAACTCAAATACGATACATCTTCAATTATAGTCACTCTAGAGGGTAAAATATATATCTTCTCAGTTCTCACCATCCTTATAGTGTATGAGACAAATGTATGCATTTTAATTTTAATTAGGGTCTGAACCTTTTGATAATTTTATATACTAATTTCACATGTAGATAATTTCTATGGATCGAGACCAAGGAACAAACACCTAGCATATATGTGGGCAATTTATTTTCATCTATCTTTAATTGATCGAGTAACATGATTAACAATAAGATTTTATGTCCCATACGCTTTCAATTACTACTTAAATATTATAATATAGGCTAATGCATTTCCATTAAGCTTATTTGAACTTTTTGCACGCCGGTCCAAACGGAAGATCAATTTTTAGGCATCAAGGATTGCTAAGGTTGTATTTATGTACCTATCAAAACGTTTTAACCCTTTTATATACATTCATGAACTTAATTAATCCGCTTAGCTTATCAAAACACATTTGTTTCATACCTAATTAACTTTCTTCCCGGTGTTGCTTGGAGAAGTTAATTACACGTTGTAAATTAGTACTTTTTGTAAATAACTGACAAAACTATATGTGGAGTTTTAGGTTGGTTCAGTGGTTAAGTGATAGTAGTGACGAAAACATATCGATACAATTAGATGAGTGAACTATCCATGAATCTGGTCATCGATTGAAATTGACAAAAAATGTAAAGTTTTGCACAATCGACTTATTGTCATGATTCTCATAAAACATTAAGAAACAAAAAGCTTGTGTATCTAGGTGGGCGATACATCCTGAAGCTATGAATTGATGCGACCCTTTAAATCAGGTTCAATTCCTCATGGGTTTTCATAAATCCCTGTTATATTTGCATACTAAGCCTTGTAGTTGGACGATACATCTTGAAGCTATGAATTGATGCGATCCTTTTAGGCCATGTTCTATTCCTCACGGAATTTTCATAATCCTTGCTATATTTTAATACTAAACTTATTGAAACACATACATTACATCTAGCTCATTATTCCCTTGTTTGAAACCTTCCAATTTAGTGGTTTCCCTATGGGCCAAAAACTCCTACAAGTATCGAAAAATCCTAGAGATACAACTATTAGTTAACAAGAAAAATATTTTTTTTTTTTTTGATAATGGTGATGTGTATTAATATAAAATGGGGAAAGAAGAGTTTCAGGGCAGGTACAAAGGTTCAGAAGCACTGAACCGGGGCAAGAGCCAAAACAGCGAAAGAAAAAGCAGAGAAAAACAGAGAAATGGAAAGGAGAAAAGAAAGAACAAGAGCTGCAACAGGGCAGGAGGCCCAAACCAGTCGCGAGGTCATCGAAGAGCCTCCGCTGCGACCTGGGAGAAGACCCAACAAGGCTACACCTGGGTCATCGACGGATCGGAGGTTGGGGTCCTCAAGACACAGAGGGCGCCAACGCACAAAACCGAGCAATCACAAACATTAACCAAGTCTCCAGCCACTGTGTCTCCGAGAATGAAACATACTGCAAACGGCAACCGCGGCGACCGAGACTTCTGAAGAATCCAGCTAACAAGCTAAAGAACAAAAGTTGAGGGCCTGTAGAGAGATCAGCATTAGTGGTCGTTGTAGAGGGGTCTTCTGCATTGATCGTTAAGCCACTGCAGGCCTTCTTCTTTGGAGATTTTCCCCATTGAAATGGGCCATTCCAGCATTGCTTTGAAAGCTTTCCGCGCGACGATCGTAGGACTTTGGCTGGTATCTTGGAAGGTTCGGCGGTTTCTTTCCAGCCACAGACTCCAGGTGATCGCGTGCAACGCGCAGTGATTGATCCACTCATCCGGCTTGTTTGGGGGTCTGTTTTGCCGATCTTTGACTGTTGAGAAGATGTCTTCGCCTACGTTCTCAATACTGGGGCAGGCGGCTCTGCATTTGCTCCAAACTTCTTGGCTGAATTCGCATTTGACGAGCAAGTGATCGACCGACTCTTCTTCCTTTTCACACAGAACGCACCTGTTAGCCATGGCCCACCCTTTGTGCTTGAGATTATCAAGAGTCTGGATTCTCTTGAGGGTTGAAAGCCAAAGGAAGCTGCAGATTTTGGAAGGGATGGTCTGCTTCCAGATGGATTTGGCGGGGAAGCTGGGGTCTCCTTGAAACTTGTTCTTCACGAGTGACCTGTACATGGAACGGACAGAGAAAGCTTTTTCCGGGTCGGGGAGCCAAACTAAACGGCTGGGCCCGCTGGAAATCCTATCGTTAGCGTGATTATTCAAGAATTCAAACAAAGAAGCTAATTCTCTCTCGGCTCCCCCTCTTAAAACAAAATTTAAGTGAATGTCCCAGGAATTACCTTCGCCATTTATACTTCTGACCATGGAGATTCTTGCTTCAGGATCGGACGAGGCCGCAGCGACCCGGGGGAAGTTAGCGGCGAGACAAGTGTTGGGGATCCAAAAGTCGTGCCAAAAAGAGCACCAAGCTCCATTGCCGGGGTCGATGCAAGTTGAGTTCCAAAACTTGTCGTGAACCTTCGAAATGTTGGCCCAAACCGAGTTGGCGAAACCATTATTGCATTTGCCGGTGTGCCAAAGGGATTGAGGGTTGCTGTATTTGTGACTGATGAGATTCTTCCACCATTTCTCGCCCTCAGTAGCAAATCTCCAATGCCATTTGCTTAACATTGCGTCATTGAAGCTTGCCAGGTCAGTTATGCCAAGTCCCCCTTGAGATCGAGGTGCTTTGCATCTTTCCCAACTCACAAGGGGAACCTTATCGACATCACCGGTGCCGCTCCAAATGAACCTGCGTTGAATTCCCTCCATGCGCTTAATGACTGTTTTCGGAGCTTTCAGCAGAGAAAACAGGTAGACGGCTTGGCTGGACAGAACAGCTTTGTTGAGGACGACTCTGCCCCCCATCGATAAGAATTTGCTCTTCCAACCCTCTAGTTTCTTCTGGTATCTGTCTATAATGGAGTTCCAAGTGGAGATGGCGTTCACCTTGGCCCCAAGGGGGAAGCCCAAGTACTTGGACGGTTCAGAGCTCCATCTACAACCGAATAAATTGGCAAAGTACTCTGGATTTGGGATGTCGCCAACTGTGAACATCACGGTTTTGTCCAAATTAATGTTGAGCCCCGTAATTGTTTGAAAGCAGACGAGCGCGGCGATGATGTTGAGGACTTGATCGTACGAGGCTTCACAGAAGATGAGGGTGTCGTCGGCGAAGAGGAGGTGAGTGACCTCGCCACTGCCATTGTCTTCATTCATGCAGAAACCTCTTATCTTCCCTGCGGCGCTCAGTTTGGTAATCATGAAGTCGAGAATATCCATGATCAAGACGAAGAGACCTGAGGAGAGTGAGTCCCCCTGCCTGAGTCCTTTGTGCATAGGAAAGAAACCCTTGGACTCGCCGTTGATAAGAATAGAGACCAGGGGGAACACATAGTGCCTCGGATCCAATCAATCCATTTTGCGGGGAAACCCAGGTTAGCCAGAACCTTGTAGAGACATCTCCAGTTGACGTTGTCGAATGCTTTCTCGATGTCGATTTTGAACATGAGGCCAGGCTTCTTGCTCTTCTTACGGCTGTCGACGAGTTCGAAGGCGATTAAGCCGGCATCAGCGATCTGGCGCCCTTTCACGGATGCTTGTTGGTTGGGGGACGTGATTCTTGGCATAATCGAACTCAGCCTGCTCGCCAAGACCTTGCTCACAAGCTTATTGATGGATCCCATCAAGCTGATCGGTCGTAAGTCCTTGGTGTCTTCTACAGCATCTCTCTTAGGAAGCAAACACAGAAAGGAGTGGGTGGCGCTTTTCGGGAGGCGGCCATTGGAGTGGAACTCAGAAAAAGCATTCACGATGTCATTCTTCATCCAAACCCAACACTTCTTGTAGAACTCCCAAGTGAATCCGTCCGGACCGGGGGCTTTACTGCCGTCGAAATCAATGATACAGGCATAAATTTCTTCTTCACTGAAAGGGCGTGTCAGGGCAGTAGCTTCGAGGTTGGGAACAGCTCTACTGGTATGGTTTCTGGGAAAAGGACGTTCGGGGATTGCTTCCTTGAAGAAGTTCGAATAATAGTTCACTAACCCGTTCGCAACTGCTTCTTGCCCTTCGACCATGGAGCCGTTGATTTTGATGCAGCTGATCTTGTTGAACTTCCTCCTGAAGTTTGCGACTTTGTGAAAGAAATTGGTGTTTTTATCCCCTTTACGGAGCCAGACTTCTCTAGATTTTTGGCGCCACGAAATCTCCAGGAGGTTGAGAAGCCTGCCGAGTTCCACTCTCTGCATATCTCTCGAAATCTTCAGACTAGTGTCGATAGGGGCTGATTCTTCTGTTCTGTCTATGTCTGAAATGGCGGATAGGAGTTCGCCAATTTTAATTTTTTTTCCCGGAAAGTCGATTTCAGGGGTTTAATCAGCCACTCTCCCACGCAATAATAGAAATCATTATTCATATATTGACAAATTATGTTCATAATAACTGTTGTATTGTGTCCAAAGTTGGGAAATATGTAGAACAAACAAATTTGACTTTGTTGGTCATTAGGGATTTCATGCTCTGCTTACGTAATCCATGATGCAAAACTTGATTATAACCAAATTGAAATGATCCACTTCCTTTCTATTTCACTTTCCTGGGAAGAAAAATAGTTTGATTGTTCAGTTGGAGCTCGAGCCCACCAGAAGGCAGCGGTTCTACCAATGGCGTTGGGTGAGGCACATTCATGAAACCAACGACCATCGAGACCTTCATGGTTGATTCGTTAATAAGAAACCCCACTTTCAAGATTGTAGTCATTAAGAGATTAGATTAACGGGTTGGTTGGACTTGGATGCATTATTTGGTTGTGGATACTCGATAGAGTTAATGCCGAATGACCCGCGCGTTCTATACAGTTTGCGGAATATTAGCGAGTGCACGGCTAAAGGTTAAAACTATTAAGAGAAAAGGTTTAAGATTCATTTAGAAACTCTCAAATGAGTTATTGGGACCAAGTAGATATTGACATGATATAATTAGAGTCGATGATGATCAAGAGGTGTTGTGTTTCAATTCTCACGATATCCAATATGACCGGGTAGTTTAAACATAAAGTATGAATTTCAAATCCTTAAATTAATTTTCGTCTCTCGATAAACTGACATACTATCGAATTTCATAATATATTCCAATAACTCAAGTTACTGAGTTTTTTCGAACACTCTCTACATTGTTCCTACGGCTCATGAAATTTGAATCTATCACTTCAGCGGTTCAACATCGCCTTCATCCCACTGAGATCTGGCTTGGCCAAAAGTCAGATGGTGATTATAATAGTATGAATAGACAAGTCTGCACCTGTTACTGTTAGTACCATGATTGTCATGAAATGGATGGTTAATCCTAAAGCGATCTCAAAATTAACTTCGATTGGGACTCTCTTTTTCCCCCTTTTCACGGGCCCTCCTATCACTCAAGCAATAGGCTGCGCACTGGAAATTTCCGAGAACATGTTTGCACTAACCAGTCTAATTTGGTCCAAATAAACCCTTCTTTGACTAATTTGTTATAGGTTCAATTCAAGGTCTTGAGAGCATGGATACCAAATATAATCCTTGTTCGGGAACATTACTACTACCTTGAGATACCAAAGAGGAAAACCAGCAAAGATTTTATCGATTCAAATCGAATATTTCGAGGCACGATGCTACTCTATTTCCTTTTGTCGATGAATGATAGCTCTACATTTACTGTTGCATACACAACCAAGACGAAAAGGTTGAAATCAGCAGAGATTCTACAAAGTCAAACTCGATACCTTGAGAGACGATGTCATTGACTTGTTGTGGTAGTAATGCTAGACTAGAATTTTTGTTGCACTTCGAATGAAATGTTGTGTTTCAACTTCAAGTTCGCTCTTCGACTCTTGGGCATTCAGTCAAGCGGACTGCTCTCTCCACTTATGGGCCATTTTCTTACGTATCCTGTCGGCCCACTAAGATTACCGAAAGTTTGCTGGGAAGTGGGAACCAATCTGCGCCGTTTTGGGCCGGGCCCAACGAGGTAGCGAACCACATACCGTTACCCGCCGAAGTAATCTATTGGTCGCCGCAACGACTGATCCCGCTAAGCTGTGGGGAAAAAGTTCAGCGCGCCTTCTCTCTCTCTCTCTCTCCTCGCCGCCGGCGATGAATTCTCCACTTCGCGTCGTCAGTCCGCTCCTCGTGCTCCACCTGAAACCTGTCCTCACTTCACTCCCTCAGCTTTCTCCCTCGGTTCTTTCGCCTCGAAGGCTCTTCGCGCCAATCAACCCTAGAGCTCTCCTGTGTACCGCAGCGGCGCGTGACCATGGCGGGAGGTCCGGCGCCCTGACTGGACCGCCTGTGCTGGAGGAGGAAGAATTGGTGACGAAAATCGACGTCAATCCTCCTAAAGGAACTAGAGATTTCCCTCCCGAGGAAATGCGCCTCCGCAACTGGCTCTTCCACAACTTCAAAGAGGTAACAGTAGAAATAGAACTGTCGAATTGTGCGGGACAGTGACTGCAATGGCTTCCGTCATGTGTAAATTTCTGAGTGGAATTTTTTTGTTTGAAGGTTTCGCGGTTGTATGGATTCGAAGAGGTTGATTTCCCTGTGTTGGAGTCTGAGGCTTTGTTCATTAGGAAAGCTGGAGAGGAAATTAGGGACCAGGTTGGTATGCCAGTCCGAAAATGTTTGAGTTCTCAGCCATAGCTTGAATCAATTTTGTGATGTGGATGAAGGAGAAGTAAACTGCAGTGTGATTACTCTGCTCAATTGCTGGTGCTTGGGACTCTTAACTAAAATGCTTTATACAGGAAAACGCATTGTGGGTTGTGAATGCTTTCCCTCCCTAAAAGTTTCCCTTCTTTGTGCAGTTATACTGTTTTGAAGATCGTGGGAATCGCCGTGTTGCTTTGAGGCCTGAGCTAACTCCTTCACTGGCAAGACTGGTCATTCAGAAAGGGTAGTCAAACGTCAGCCGCATTCGCTATCTGCTGTTTTTTTCTTTTCTATTTGATGTTTCTGCTCGACCCGCATTGCTGTTTTGATGTTTGAAGACTTAAAAACCTGTGTGTTGATTTAAGTATTGCTTATATTTTTGTATCCAGGTACAGATGCCAGAATTGATCTCCATGTTTTTTTTGGTCCAGAAAATCTGCACCTTTGCCATTAAAGTGGTTTGCTGTTGGACAGTGTTGGCGGTATGAGAGGATGACAAGAGGAAGACGACGTGAGCACTACCAGTGGAATATGGATATTATTGGTGTACCTGAAGTTACTGTAAGTCATGCCATTCTCTCCTATATTAGCTCTAAGATAAAAGGCCTTGTAATGGAAGATTTCCCCACACTTCATGCCGCTTATAAGCATTACCTTAGTGTGGCGTTTCCCCTTCATTGTGTTTGTAGATTATTGGATTTATGGACAATGTGGACTTTTATATTGTAGGCTGAAGCAGAGCTTATTTCTTCTATTGTCACATTTTTCAAACGAATTGGAATCACAGCTTCTGATGTTGGATTCAAGGTTTCTAGCAGAAAGGTACTTCCGTTTCCTTTTCACTTGAGCTACTATGTGATTCTTAAATTGTTAAATGCAAATATTGTGATCTTCTACTAATTGGTTCCCTATTGTGGCAACATAAACTTGTCTTGATATGTGGTTATTGAAGTTCATGAATTCTGATGATTCTTCCTTAATTGACTGGTAACCTTGTGTTCACTGTCCTAAGAATCTGGTGATTCATTTTAGAGCCAACATTTGTTGCTTGGAATTTGTCCCTAGTCTAATGTATTTTCTACAGTCAGTACTTAGTAGTTTGAGAATTGAATTGTTCTGGCAACTTGTTTTACAATTTGGAATAGTATAATAATAAGTGGCAATGCTGAACTTTCTTCTGGTTTAAAACAGGTTTTGCAGGAATTGTTGAGGCGTTACTCTCTACCGGAGAATGCGTTCGGCAAGGTCTGCGTGATAATAGACAAGGTTGGTTACTGAATATCTATTATCTGATCACCTATGGTCGTTTGGTTTCTGCTCTCCAGAGTACTTAACTTGTGTGTTGGGTTCTCATCTTTGTGCTTGTTATTTAAGCTGATGTGGCTTTGGTGGATGGTGTAACAGATTGAGAAGATGCCAATAGAAGAAATTAAGAAAGACTTGACATCTGTTGGTTTGTCAGAAGATGTCATCAAGGAGCTGCTGCAGGTTCTTTCCATAAAGTCCTTGGCAGAGTTGGAAGGTAGGTTTCATTCGTTATGTCATCTTCAAGCTTCCCTTTTCATCTCCACATTCTCAACTTCTGTGAAATATAGTGTTTAAATTTAGTATAATCATAATTTAGAACTTGAGGTTAAGTAGTCATCTCCCTCATCCTTTTTTCTGTTGTTGGTGTGTATCTTCCAACACTTCAGAAGAACAAAGATGAAATAAAAACTGATTTGAGCATCATGAGTTATGACATTTGGTCACCAGTGGGATAGTCATCTAATGATATGAAGTGTTCTGTTGGTGTAGATATACTTGGTTCAGGGGAAGCGATTGCCGATCTGAAACATCTCTTCTCTCTGGCTGAGAAGTTTGGTTACTCTGATTGGATTAAATTTGATGCATCAGTAGTTCGTGGTCTTGCCTATTATACCGGTATAGTTTTCGAGGTCAGTTTTACTGTACAATCTTGCCTGTTGAGTAGTTATATATTTCTTCAGTTTAGGAAATAGTCATTCTAAACCAGCTCTCGTGATTGTGGTGTGTATGATTTCAGTTGCTTAATAATCCAATTTTTCCATCAGGGTTTCGACAGAGCAGGAAAGTTGAGAGCCATTTGTGGTGGCGGGAGATACGATCGGTTACTCTCGACCTTCGGCGGAGACGATCTTCCAGCCTGTGGCTTTGGATTTGGGGATGCTGTCATTGTCGAAGTAAGTCTACAATACTCCCCTCTCCATTATCTTTGTCACTCGACAACGGTAGCATTCTCTTGACTAATTCTCCATGTGCCTACCATTCCAGTTCCTAAAAGAGAAACATCTCTTACCAGAACTAAGCCTCCAAGTAGACAACATAGTGTGCGCTCTTGATCCAGACCTTCGAGGAGCAGCTGCAACCGTTGCTACAATTCTCAGAGGGAAAGGCCAAAGCACTGATCTAGTCCTGGAAAACAAACCCTTGAAATGGTATATATATCAACTCCATAGCTTCCTCGATCTTATGTCTGTTATATTTCTTAAAGTTTGTTACTCAAAACATGGTGCTTGCTTCAATAGGGTCTTCAAACGGGCAGCACGAGCAAATGCACAGAGGCTTATACTGGTGGGCACAAAAGAGTGGGAAAAGGGTATGGTTGGTGTAAAAATTCTAGCTTCAGGTGAACAATATGAGATTAAGGTTGATGAACTAGATTAGTTTTCACAAGTTTGACCATTAAGGTTCGTGTGTAGCGGTCTGATAATTTATCATTTGAATGCATTCTTGTGACTTAACTATAGGTGAAAAGTAAAACATGATGTTTTTCGTTCCTTGAGCTTCCATTGTTTTTCGTTCCTCGAGCTTCAATTTACATAAATGGGTTTAGGGTCTCTACTTTGGGCCAGGCCCAATGAGTGAGAGACGTGAAGTTGAGTACCTAAAGCCCAACTGATAATTTCCCCCATTATTGTACAGTTAATCACTCTCTGATTAAAATAGAAAAAGATTCAGTAATCTGCCTTCTTTGATTTTGTCGATGGGGATTGTCCACTCTCCGTCCTAAGGTTACCGTTATAAAGTTTTTTCATTATCCGCCCCTACCAGCACTTGGTGCGGGACAAGAATGAGTATTGAGATACCTGCTCTGCCCCACCCGTTTGCCATCACTACATGTTGGGAAAGTGACTTCTTGATTTCATAAGGCTCACGTCATTTCTAAATTCTGCTGAACTTTTATTGCAAATAAACAAATTGTATTGAATATTAATTGAATGAACCTCTCCTTTTACATGATGCACATCTAATTTCTAACTTTTTTTGACTTTTTTTGACTTTTTTCTAAGTGTTTTGAGGTCTTAGGTGTGACCTAGTACAGATATGCATTGAATATATGAATTTATATGCTAGTTTGGAATTCACTGAATTTTGTTCACGTATACAACATCTCTTATTCGTAGAAGTTAAAAATCCCTTACTGATAGAACTGTAAAATCTATATTTCTCTATATTTTTCCTTTTAGAGCGGAAAAAATTCATACGTCTTGTTATCTATGAATATAAATATATTTAGTTTACTCCAACATCTCAAGTATAGTTTCTTAATGAAAATTTCAACCAATACATGCCTAACAAGCTAATCGTTCTCAGCCTTTAGGTATCACCTAGGAACTACTATATATTAGACAATCATGTTCATTACATGAGGTTTATGGAAGTCACACCAATCATCACACTCAAAGTTAGCTTCTTAGATGAGGCTATAGCTAGGAAGCATCCATGCCAAGCCTTCTAATATACCATATAAGCTCAAGTTTTTATGGAATTCATGTTCTACATATGAACCTTTAACCTTTTCATGCTTGCTGCCAAGTTCTGACTTCAAGAAGCTTGACCCTAAAACTAGGGGTGGTTATACGGTCCGGTTAAATTGGCCCAAATTGATCTGGTCCAGTCTGGTCTTTTTGAAAATATAAGGATCAAAGATTGGATTGGATATAGTCCAGTCTTGATCCGGTCCGGATCCCAATTCGGTCTTGATTTTATATTAAGCTATTGGGGATTTGAGTGGCCTAAGACCTGAAAGGGCGAGGAGTTGGTTAAGTTTCCTACTAAGTGCAAAGGTTTGTGACCGTTTATGCAAATTATCCTTAAGTTTTGGGTGTTGAGCTCTCTTATCCGGTCTTTATCCAGTTTTCGATCAGATCCCGAACGGTTTTTTACCTCAAATCTAAACCCAAAGATTGGATTGGATTGTTTACTATCCGATCCCGGTTCAGTCTTGGTCCAGGTTATACGGTCCAGTTTCGGATAAAACCAAAAAACCCGAACCAAATAGCCAGCCCTACCTAAAACATTAAAAAAACATCATTTTAATGTTTTGCTTAACAAAAATTAAAGGGAAAAGGGTGTTGATTAACACATGCCATGAGATCTACTTGGCTTTTGCCACATGCAAAGAATTGGATTTTGACCAACTTTTTCTTTATATCCATTGTTGTGGTGCTTGTTTCTCCCACAAGGTAAAAAGACTCTAACTTTCAAAGAGCCCATCAATTGTTATTATTGTACCCTTCTTTTGCCCCCCTCACCACAACCTTTCTTTTAACCTTTCCTTGAGGCTGAAGCATCCTCCTTTGCCAAAGTGAAGATAGATGACCAATGTTCTCTCATGTGTGATGTGTGTATGTGGGGGAACTTCCCTCCACATGTTGTGAAGTTTGAGCTTCGATTATGGCTTTTTGTTATGTATGTACTATCTAATTTGTCGAGAATTTGGAGAGTACAAAGCAATTTCTATGTGCAAGTACAACCAGAGCAAATCAAATGGGAACTCAGACATTGGAAGAATAAACTTTCTGGTGTTTTGTCGGTTGATTGATTATGAGTAGGTTACAGTAAAAATTGCACTCGGTTTGTGTTAGATCGTTTGTTAGTTTGTACTACGAAATATATCCAGCAAACTTGAAATGATGATACAGTATATCACATGGTTGAACACATATGTTGTTTTTTTCTAATCAAAATGTTTGTTCATTCAATAGCAATTCAACTTTCTTTTTATGAGGAGTCTTTTATTGAGATTTCATGCATTGAAATAATCGTTGCGACAATTTTTCAGTCTCTAGAATCGACAACAAAGAAAGAGGTTGGACTTTCAGTGCCAAACATACAAATGGTCCCAATCTATAACATGATCATGCAAGACATGGGTTGTCAAATTCGTATTTTATGATTGCTAGGTATTTAATTTCTCTACAAATATATTCAGTTCCGTTCTATCTTTTTTTATGCTTGTTCTATTTACTGATCAAATTGATAATCCATTCAACCATCATGTAACTCCTAACTCCAATTTGATCAGTAATTAATAATTACAAACCAACAAATAATTAAATGAACAAAATTTTACCACCCAAATTGCAAAAAAATAAATATATATATATTGGTGGAACGAAATTGCAAATTAATAGCGAAAGCCCTAAACAATAAGCAAAACAATTAAAAAACAAAAGAAAAAAGAGGGAAAATAAATAAAATATAAATAATAACAGCTTTACTCGTTAAAATTCTAAACCCTCAAATTTCCCTCTTTTCTCATCAGCTTCAAACCCACCTCTCTCCCCCACTCTCGTTCTTCTCCTCCTACCCACTCTCGCTCCACATCTTCCTCTCCCACACAGATCAACAAAACGCTATCTCCAAATTCCAATCCCGAAAATCCCTTCCGGCGAACCGGCCGGAAGAACCCTCAGCCGGCTTAAGAAACCCACCCACTTGAAACTTTCCCGCGTTTTACGAATTCCGTCCATCTTGGGTCTTGGGGATTGATTCTCGCAATTCGGGGAATTGGGCTCCGTCTAAAAGGATGGCCACTGGTGGAAACGGAGCCCACCAGGACGAAGGGGACAAGACCCTCTCCGCTGCTACTCCTGTTGCTGGCGGGGCCGTCGCTTCCAGAGGCGGCGGCGGTGATGGCGGTGGAGGAACCAGGTCGTGGGGGACTACCACCGCCTCCGGCGGTCAATCGGTGTCGACCAGCGGCAGCGTGGGATCTCCCTCCAGCAAGAGCGAGCAGGCTATCGCCACGCCGGCCAGCGATAACACTTACCTACGGCTGAACCATCTCGACATTCACGCCGACGACGCCGCTACCCAGGATGCTGCGGCGTTAGTGACCTCTCTGATTTCCCTTTCTTTTGCTTGTTGGATACAATATGAGAGCTGAATCTAGTGGTGGGCTATCGATTTGTTTTGGTGCCTGAATTGATTGTTCATTAGTGATGCATCCGGATTGGTTAAAACGTTGGTTCGATTTGTGAGAAGTGAGTTCAAATCCTGCCTTAGAAATCTCAAATTTGCAGCTCTGCGTCAGATTAACATTATTTCCAGGCTCAATCTGTGATTTGTAGTTTTAGATGGCTGCCATGTTCTTTATTTGCATTAGTTGACTAAATGGTAATTGGGTTTGCGGATGTTCTTTCTTTGTGGAGTGGAGCTTTGTTCATGGTAAATTCCTCATGATAAATTGGTTTATGGAACAGTAACAAGAAGAAGAAAAGAGGTCAACGGGTAGTGGGAGCTGATAAAAGTGGTAGAGGTCTCCGGCAATTTAGCATGAAAGGTAACCCGATCCATGCCTTCTTATCTATGTCTTGCGAAAGCTTGACTGAGTTATGTGAAGTGAGTTCAGTGAACATTGAACATTTACGAATTCATTCTGAGTAAGCTTCTTTGTGTACTGTTTGCAGTGTGTGAAAAAGTAGAAAGCAAAGGGACAACCACTTACAATGAGGTCAATTAATTCTTTCACATTCTTGCTTTCAATTATGTTTTTTCCCCGCGGTGTAATGGTTGAAGTATTTATCTGAAATTTTGTGTACTTGTGCTTCATCGACTGTTTTCTGAACACTTGTCGAACCATTGATCATTCTCTTGCTAATGACCATGGCATTTTCCTGCAATAATAAATTAGAAAACACATGTTTATCTTTGATAGAACAGGACCAAAGTGATTCTTCATGTCCTTCCCTTATTATGGGGTTTTCTGTCTTCTTCTTCTCATGGGATCTTTGGTTGGAGAAATTTTCTGTCTTCTTCTCATGGGATGGTTGAATACTAGGAATTATGCCAATCTGGTTAAATAAGCAAGAACACCAAATGCGTTGATTTGTTTTGTGACATCTATAAGTTTCCTTTTCAATAAGTTTTTCATTCGGGTTTCTGAGTAGCTCTCATTCATTCTCAGGTGGCAGATGAACTTGTGGCAGAGTTTGCTGATCCTGGTGGTGCTGTTCCAGCAGGCCCAGACCAGGTCGTTGTATTGATTAACCAGTTCATAGTCATTGCTTCCTAATGTGTTCGTTAGAGGAAATGAATTTAAACCCTAACTGCTACCTTTCCCTTTTTTGTTTCATATGTGAACTCGCAGCAACAATATGATGAGAAAAACATACGGCGGAGGGTGTATGATGCCTTGAATGTCCTCATGGCTTTGGATATCATATCAAAAGATAAAAAAGAAATTCAGTGGAAAGGTCTTCCCCGAACTAGTCTGAGCGACATTGAAGAACTGAAGGTACAACTAGCCTATATAGTTATGATTGGCTTATTTTTGTTGGCGATTGGGATTTTGTGGATCCAATATAGACATATCTGACACTGCAAATGTGATTATTGCAGGCTGAGCGGCTCTCATTGCGAAATAGGATTGAAAAGAAAGCCCACTATTTGCAAGAACTGGAGGAACAAGTAAATAACAACTATATTTGAATTGAGTCCTAATTAATCATCTAATGGTAGAGTTGCTTAATTACTCTCCTTCCGTGTCTAGTATGTAGGGCTTCAGAATTTGATACAACGAAACGAGCACCTATACAGCTCCGGAAATGCTCCGAGTGGGGGTGTGTCACTGCCTTTTATTCTGGTGCAGGTAAATCATTTAGTGGCTGCATTTGTGAATATATTTCTTACCCCAGTGGCATTACTTCTGAGTTTTTATAGCCTCTTCTTAACATCTTATCCTACTTTTGACAATTATGACCATTTGACCATCTGTAGACTCGACCCCATGCAACTGTGGAAGTAGAAATATCAGAGGACATGCAGCTCGTCCATTTCGACTTCAATAGGTAAAGAACCCCTTAGCCTGCAGTTATACTATTTGCTTCAGCTGGCAATTTCTCTACAAGGCAGCAATTTCCCAAACAAACCTTCACCACTTCTACTAGTTGTTTTAGTATATTTGCTCCTTGCATAACATCTCCATCTTGGTACCTTTCTTGTCGCAGCACCCCGTTTGAGCTCCATGATGATAATTATGTTCTGAAAGCAATGAAACTCAGTGAGAGACCTCGTGACACCGACTCCCCAACACCAAACATGATCATCAGCATAGATGAGGAAAGATCTAGAATGTTCCAGCAGCAGCAACAATTGCTTCCTGCTGCCATCACAACTACTCCAGTCAGACCTGCTCCCACTTCGCCGCCCATTCCCGGGATCATTAAGTCACGGGCTAAGCACGAGCATTGACCTGGCGAATGACATCTCTCGATCCGCTTTTTGTGTATATCGGTGTAAAGTAATCGATGGCTTAGAGAAAAGTGCCCTAGCGGGGGGATGCCCTTGGCTTCTCCTCTTCCCCCTGCTGTGTTAATGGCCACCCTGTGTTCTGCAGGAGATATCTAGTCTGATTATCCAGGTTTGTAAGGCAAATCCTTCTGTCGTTTTTTTCTCTCTTCACTGTTCTAGATGAGATCGAATATTTTGTTGTTGTTGGTGGTCATGATCATTGTAGTAGATTATAGGGTAGGGTAAGTCGTAAGCCGGGTTTGCCTTCTGGTGCTGTTTAGGCCGCGAAAAACAGAGGATCCTGTTCAGGCATAGAGATTAGAGAGAGCTATGTTACATGTTACGGGAGGTTTTATTAGGATATAAAAACGAATTGGATTCACTGTAATTTCATATTCATCCATTCTTATCCTTCACTCTAACTCTGCACGGTGGGTTAGTTTAATATTTGAGGTTCAGATGAACGATGCTCAGCTAGGTGTTGAACCATTCCCGTCAAAATTAGTTTAATATTGGGTTCAAGGGTTGTGCTAGCTTGTGCACAAACAACACTCAACGTGTCTTATAATCCATACCAGAAACTCTCCGAAACCCGAAACTAGGGCATAATCCAATCACGAGACACCTTAGTTGATATGCAGGAGGTTATCGAAGTCCAGAAGATAGACAGAATCCGGGGGAACTTCTGTTTCCGCAGGGGCGGACAGAACTGTATTGTTATGTTTGCACATGAACAAGGCTCTGCGGTGCTTGAAAGACAACGGTTAATATTCGAACACATGATCTTTCGGTTCTAGGCTCTGATACTATGTCAAGAACCAGTTGATCCCAATAACTCGAGTTGTTGGGAGAAGGTTATGCTGGATCTTATACCACTCTCTAACAATATCAGAGTAGTGGAGGTTGATTAGAGGATCTAACCTTGGATTCAAGGGAGGGAGCTCAGTTACCAGAGTAGGCTGGAGAGAGTCGAAATCGAAGCAAACTAGTCCGCATTATGGCTGGCCCAATGAGCCCGAATAGAGCCCAACTTAAAACGCAAAGCGCGGAAAGCCCAATAATTAATTTCCCGCTTTATTTCTTCCCGCCCCGATCATTTTTTTTAAACATAAACCATTAAAACTCTGCAAGTTCCTTCCATATATGACTTGGATTTCCTTGGCTTTCACGGTCTATGCCGGAACCTCGTCCTCGAGCTACTCGATATATAGATACAGAGTAAGAAGGAATTGCACGCAGACGCAAGGCTTCCTTTTACCCTGTCTATAGTGCTTGTGGGATCGCAACTTCCTATGGCCGCAGGTGAATTTTCGTCTCCTTTCTTTTTCTTTGTCTTCAATGGAGGCTCTCCAGTGATTACGTTTCTCTCTCTTTTTTTTTTCTTTTTCTCTTTTTTTGGGGTCTGCGCTATGTTCTCTCCAAGTTCATCGACGGTGACCGAAATTCATGTCTCTCTGTGTGTGTATATATGTAGAGATGCAGAGTGGAGAAGAAAGAGTTTCCTGCAGCAGCATGGAGCAGTACGAGGTGATACAAGAGATTGGGCAGGGGACATTCGGCACCGTTACTCTTGTGAGACACAAGCTTGAAAACAAGATGTGAGAGACCATTCATCTATGAAACCCTCATTCCAATTATTAATCGCTTCTTGTTCTTCTTGCTCAATTACCTCTGTCTTTTCCGGGTTTGAATGCTCTGCTTGGATCTTTAAAAATGTCTGCTCTTATTCAAGGTATGCTCTAAAACAGACGCCGGCCAAAACTGAAGATGAATCGGGTCGTTATGAGGTCAGTGGCATCTGTCAATTCTGCTTGGTGATTTAGAACAGTACCCATCTTTCTCACTTTTTCGGTACTCGGCAGATGAAGCTCCACTCTAGGATAGAACATCCGTTCATTGTAGAGTACAAAGATTCCTGGGTGGAAGAGGTAATAGTCGATTTTGAAGGATGGAAAACCTGCAGCTATAAGGTTTAATTCGGTAACGAGGATGCTTAAATCGGGTGCCCTGCTGCTTATTTTTGTTGTTGTTGATTAGGATGGCACGGCATGCCTACTCTTGGATTATTGTGAAGGAGGAGACATGTATAAGGCTATAGAGAAGGCTAATGGTGTGCTTTTCCCGGAAGAGGTCATTTTCTTTTCCCCTGCCCTTTTTGTTCTCTCTTTTCTAACTTTAGATGGTTGTGTTTACTGAATATGATTTGTGTTGTTGCAGAAGCTATGCAAGTGGTTTGTTCAGCTTCTCATGGCTCTTGATTACCTGCACAGAAACTGCATTCTTCACCAGGATATCAGTGTAGCCGCCCGCCTCCACTTCTAGAAACTAGTATTACCATTGACATCATTCATTCTCTAAGACCATATTGGGATTGCCTGCTGATTCTGGTTGAAAAATGTTGTTGACTTGTTGTTGCAGCCTAAAAACTTCTTCCTGGCGAAAGATGAAGACATTCGTCTTGGTACGTTGTAAATTGATATCATCATATGGGGAACTAGCTAGCTATCCACTTTGCAATTGTAACAACCAGTATGATGATGGTATATGCAGGTGACTTTGGATTTGCAGAGGAATTGGATTCCCCGGACGACCTTTCTGATAAGGTAAGTGATGGAAGGTGTCATCTTGTTTCCACAAGATGGTTCTCAGCCATTGTAAACCGTATGTTTCTGCTTTCAGGTTTGTGGCTGTGTAGGGTTTATGTGCCCTGAGATGGTTTCTTGGGTACCTCACGGTCCAGCATCAGATATTTGGGCTTTAGGTAATCTTATAGCAGACTGTAAAATGTAAAAACTTCTTCTTCTTCATATGGTGGCCCTATGTTAATCTCCTGCCAAAAATTCTGGTATCCAGGTTGCTCTATGTACGAAATGGCTTCTTTTGAGACTGCATTTTCACTCGGAGACCCATTATTTGAAAACACATTAGAAGTGAGTTTTTGTTATATGGCCTTTGTTTTCTCTGTACTAAGAATGAATCTATAAGCCATACGAATTGTTCAATGTCTTTTTGTGCTGCATATGTTTCACTTTCACCGCCTCTTGGGAAGCACAGGGTCAGGAAGAGCTGAACAGGAGAATAAAAGAAGCCCCAGTGTCTCCACTTCCAACCGAATATTCCGGTGCCTTGTAAGTCAAGTCAAAGATGATGCTCCAACATCAACATAATGTTCTGGTTTACTCTGTTAGGGCCTTGTACTAAACTCAGATCATGGTTTTGGCAGTCGAAGTCTCGTCGACAGGATGTTGGAGAAGGATTCAGCATTGCGGCCAACGGTATGTGAAATTTCAATCCTCCATCGTCGAACTGATCGTCTCAATTTCCATATACCCACTTTTGACCGACTGTTACGTGCGATGTAAGGCAGGGGAGCTGCTGAAGGACCCGTATCTTGAACCTATCGTCCTCGAAGTAAAGGCGAAAATCAATGGCTTCCTTGGAGATAATAAGACACTAGTAGTAGGAAATGCCACAGCTGGAGAGGATGACGATGGAAGATTCTGCAGCAACTCTTCCTCGTCGGACGAAAATGCGGCGACGGCTGGAGCCTCGTCTTGCCGGGAGATTGAGGATGCCCTGAGGTTGCTGGAGTTGAGCGCCGAGGGTGGTGGAGGACCGGAAGAATCGAATGAAGGACAGCAGTGCCGCCGGAATAAGTGATTTCTCGCCGGAGGATTGAGACCTCTTTTGACTATTTTGTAGTTATTGTTATAATTTTGGCCGAGGTTACGTTTATGAATTCAGTAGGTAGATCATTTATATTTACTATCATAATAATATATTTTATCATGCAATTATTTCCGTATTCCGTGACTATTATATTGAGCCGGAGATTTTAATTCGTATAAAATACGGTTTTATAATATTTTATTTAAAAAGGCTTGTTTGCATCAATCGGATCGAACTTATACAAGTCATTTTTCTTTATGCAAATATGATTTTGACTACTTAGTAAGGGAGGGGAAAACGTGTGGAGATTTCAGGTGGGATCGGGAAAGAACTCAGTGTTTGAGAAACCGTATTGTATTGAAGGTTCGATCGAAATATTGTCAATTAAAACTTAAATCAATAGATAATATTAGCGTATGAAACAATTAAATTACGGTGAAACTACAGTTTTAAGGATATTATCACTAATTTTTACGGTTACATTTTCGGTTTTACGATATTAAAGAAGCCATCGGAGGCAGGGCAGGAAAGCGGTGGTGACGATTACTCTGTCCGGCGGCGGACAGACACGCTGGATTAGACTTCCTTAAGGGAGAGGACTTCCCGGTATTGTTGCCAGCCCAATGGGCTGAAGAAGAGCCCAATACGGAACGCATTTTGTCCAAGGAGCTGAAGAGCACAGGTTGGGCCCAACAGCTTCAAGAATCAGCAATACGACGCCGATTCTATCTCCAACCGATTCTTTGAAGTTCCAGCGCCTACTTTGTCATCGATCGTCTACCATTAGGGTTCTATCTTTCGCGGCGGCGCTAAATCCCACACAAAGCCGGCCAACCAAGTTCCGAGAGAGGAGTAGAAGAGAGAAAAATGGGAGGCAAGTGTCCAAGCAGGAAGGTTAAGAAGAGAAGGTTCTCTCACAAGCAGGCTCGCCGCACCAAATTCGAACTCATGGGCGACGACGCGGTCTACGACCAGTTGCAGAAGCCCGACGGCGTTAGGAAACCGATGCCCTTCGACGAGGATTTGCCCGGCATGGGCCAGCACTACTGCTTGCACTGCGAGTAAGTAAACTCCATCTCTGGTTGAACTTATATTATTGGGCATGCGATTTCAGTTTTTCTGTGCTGTTTGGCGGCTGTTTCGATCTAAGTGATGAGCTTTTCATTGAAAGTTTGTACTTTGATGTGTATTCATACATAAGGATAGAGGAATGAATCCCGGGGATTCTAAATTGGTTTTGCCCGTTGTTGAATAAAGTGAAAGGTTGGGACTTTGTTATTTTGTGCAAAGGGGCGGAGACATAGATTTCTGTTCGATCTATCCCTCTTTGCTAAGAGCAATCTGGACTGTGTTTTCGTCCTTTGGTGTTCCTTGATTTGGCCAATGTTTTGATTTGGGTGTGTTATCTTATCACTTTTCAGCCGATTCTTCGCAAACGTGACTGTGAGAGACGAGCATTTCAAGACCAAGAAGCATAGGAGACGGTAAGTGACTGTTGTGACCTTGCCCATAATGTTTGGTGTTCATAGTGTTCTTTAGTCAGGCACATTTTTTAGACGAAAGGTTAATCATGCCGTCATGCGAATCTTTCATTGTGCTTAGATCTGCTTAGTGAATTGTTTGTAGCATCATAGTGTCTAGCCAAAAAGCATATGCTTCTACTATAGGCCCTTTACCTTCTTCTTTCTTGGTTGATGAAAATTCTATGGTACCAATTGGCGTTTAAGTATCCAAGTCTAATGCTGTTAGCCAGTTGAGAACTCATTAGGACCATTTCTTGTTTTGTTTGGCACAAACATTAGGCACCAGCCATGTTGTACTTGTATCCCAAGTGGTATGCTCAACATTGTCAGCCAGTACGATGTAATGTAATGTTTAGTATTATCAGACTTCAATTTCAGCAAGTTCTTTAGATAGACAAATTCATTTGGGGACTGACCTAGGCATGAGTTGGAGGATCAGAGTGCTTGTATATTCCTTTGAACAATGATGAATAAGACATTAAGGTGAACATAACCTTTTCCTCTCCCAGATTGTTGTTAACCATGCATCCCTTGCTTTTTTGTTGTTGTTGCATATACATGCCATGTTTACTTTCATGCATGTCCAGGTTGTGACAGCGTCTGATGTTAACCATTGATGTTTGCAGGGTGAAGATGTTGAATGGACCTAAACCTCACACTCAACTTGATGCCGAGTTAGCAGGTGGGATGGGGATGCCAGACAACGGTCCGAAGCTTATGTCAATGTGAACCTAAAAGATTTAATTCCTTCTCTTTACCTCGCATCTTCCCTTTCTGTAGAATTCGTTGAGAAGTTAGCAACTTAAAAGGTCATCTCTTAACTTGTGTGACACTGCCCTATAGTGTTTCTCCTGTTTCTGCATCAATACAAATGGCAATTAGCTACCCTCTAAGTACCAAGTCAATTGCGAATCGGCTACCTTCCCCTCGCCTCTTGCAATTGCATGCTTGTTTCCTTCATGTTGCCTTATTCATGGTTGTATCAATTTCGTTGTCTTGTTCTGCATTCAATTCAATTGAATGGTGTTGTTGGTTTAGCCCCTGTGTCTTCTCTGCCAGCTACAGTTGTTTTGTTGTTCATGATTCAACAATCCCTGGAGAACTTGATGTAAAACAATCATACAGTTGTTTTATCATGCCTGTGTTCGCCAGATCTGCTGAAACAGGAAATACAGGGTGGACCATTTCCCTCGTCCTAATCAATGGCTCCTGACCTCCATGGTTCTTAAGGCCGGAACACTAAACAATCATGAGATGCGACATAGAGTTATGCATTTTTAAGTGTCCTGATTCGTTTGTCTGTTATTCAATGTCTTTCAGTGTTCTGGCACTTCCACTTGATATTTTAACACGTGTCCTTGTAGGCTAAATGTATTTCGTCCATTTGAGCTCTTAACCTGCATGTAATTACTGAAGTCGTCATGGGGAACCGGACAAACAGTGTTTACCAATCCTGAACATTATATTAATCCGTGATATCAGAATGGTTAGCTGGTCGACTGGGTGCAACCAACACAGCTGCCAAGTCCGGCAGAATATCCCAAGATCAACCCGCAGCAAGACAAAATATGGAAGTTCAACAAAAAAATAAAAAAGACAATAAGTACATGAGTGAAGCATTATCCTGGGCGCTGATAGAGGAATTACACAGTAGCAGCCTCTGCAGCTAATGATCATCAACTCCATGATTGTTCCAGCAGTCATTTGTGCTCTGCTGAGCTGGATGTGTGGTGTTGCAGGTAGCAGCAGCTGCAGTGAAGCAGAAAGAGAAGCCCTTGTAAATTTCAAGGCCGATATCCAAGACCCTTCAGGCCGGCTATCTTCTTGGTCTGGCAGTAATGGAGACTGTTGCAACTGGCGTGGCGTTGAATGTGACAATACTACTGCCCATGTCATCAAGCTTCATCTCGGATGTCCTGGTTGTTTTGAGAATTATGTGCTCAAGGGCAAGATAAGCCCTTCCTTACTTGGGTTGAAGCATCTGAGATATTTAGACCTTTCAGACAACAACTTCCAAGGGATTCCGATTCCAGGTTTTCTAGGCTCCATGAGCAGTTTGGATTCTCTTTTCCTTGGTGGATGTGGATTTGCCGGAGCCATCCCTCATCAACTTGGAAACCTCTCAAACTTGCAACGTCTTAGTCTGCGCGCTGGTCGTGGCTATGTACTACATGCTGATACTCTGCAGTGGCTCCCTGGTCTTTCTTCGCTGCGATATCTTAACTTGAGAAAGGCTGATCTCAGCAATGTTTCCGATTGGCTCAGCATGGTAAACAATCTCCCTTTTCTTTCTGAACTTGATCTTTCGAATTGTCGAATAAGCCATATGCCATCACATTTAATGAATGTCAACCTTTCATCATTGGCTGTTCTTGACCTGCAACGCAATGAATTTGCTCCAACTTCGCTTCCTATCTGGGTTTCTCATCTCAGAGGCCTGACTTCTTTGGATCTAAGGTACAACGATTTCAGAGGTCCAATTCCTGATGAGCTTCAGAACCTTACCTCCATAAGAGCTCTTCATCTGTCTACCAACGACTTCAATGGTTCAATACCAGATTGGCTGTTCAGTTTTCCCCACCTTGAGGACATAGATCTCATCAGCAACAAGTTGGTTGGTAAGATATCAAGCTCAATTGGGAACTTGACCTCTCTTGTCAACCTCGACTTGTCGTTCAACTATGGCCTTGAATTTGAAGGAGGGTTTCCTACGTCAATCAAAGGGCTGTGCCAATTGAGCTCGCTCTGTCTATCAGGGATAACTTTAAAGCATAGTGTATCAGATGTGTTTGAAATCCTTGGTGGAGAATGCCCTTCAGAAACACTTCAAGTATTGGAATTGGATAGTTGCCAGCTATTTGGTCAGTTGTCTGATGACATCGGGAATTTGAAGAGACTAAACAGTCTGGTGCTCACTGACAACTCCATATATGGTTCCCTTCCAGCGTCATTTGGTGGCATGGCATCCTTGAAGTACTTCAGAATCGAAAGAAACAAAATAAATGGGACTCTTCCTGTGAGTTTTGGTCAGCTGGCAGAGCTGAGAAATGCTGACATTTCTCAGAACTCGATTGAGGGTGTCGTCTCATCAGAGATTCACTTGGCCAAGCTCACCAAGTTGGCTAGTCTCCGTGCAGCTGGAAACCATATCGTGTTGGAAGTGAAACGAGATTGGGTTCCTCCCAAGCAGCTCGCGGTACTGGACTTAAGTTCATGGTACGTTGGACCTCACTTCCCCATATGGCTCCGAGAAATCGAGCATCTCGTGTCTCTTGATCTCTCCAACTCTGGAATTCTAGAACCCTTTCCCGATTGGTTCTGGGGCATGCATTCTCAGCTCTTCTATCTCAACATGTCTCGCAATCAGATCCCTGGGAGGCTTCCAAATTTAATCTTAGCTCCTTCCGTTGACTCATTGTTTGATTTGAGTTGGAACCGCTTGGAGGGTCCCCTGCCAATTATCTCTTCCAACATGACTTTCTTGGACCTTTCCAACAACTTTCTCTCTGGAGACTTGCTCAACTTCTTGTCCTCCAATCCATCTCAGGTGAGGCAGACAGAGTTTCTCAACCTTCACGGAAACTTGTTGTCTGGAGAGATACCCGATTACTGGAGTAGTTGGCAGAGCTTGAAGGTTTTAAGATTGGGAAGCAACAACTTAACAGGGAAGATCCCAGAGTCCATTGGAAGCTTGAGCAACCTTCTGTCGCTGCGCATTCAGAACAACAGCCTGAGTGGTGAAATCCCTTCATCCCTTGCCAACTGCTCAAACATAGTCTCCATCGACTTAGCCGACAATGGACTGGAAGCCAACATTCCAAATTGGATTGGGGAACGAGGGCTTCAGAAGCTGTCCATCTTAAATCTGCGTGGCAACAAGTTCTTGGGAGAAATTCCTGAGCAGCTTTGTTCTCTGCAGCATCTGCAGATCCTGGACCTTTCCCATAACTTTCTGTCTGGGAACCTCCCGCAGTGTGTGGGTAATCTCAGTGCCATGTCTGGCTCCAGAAACGACGATCAAGGAGTGATTTACTTGTTCTTTGGCGGGGCGAAAATGTTTGTGGAATACCAAGTTCTGGTGGCACAAGGGCAGGTCAAGGCTTACAGCACCATATTGAACTACGTCAGGAGTCTGGACCTTTCATGGAACAACCTGTCAGGCGAAATCCCAGAAGAAATCACAAGGCTTGGGACCCTGAAATATGTCAACTTGTCGCGCAACTCATTCTCGGGTGGGATCCCAGGGGATTTAGCTTCCATGACATCCTTGGAATCACTGGACTTGTCTGGAAATCAGCTATCTGGAGCAGTGCCTCCAGGCTTGGCGAGCCTGACATTCCTCAATCACCTCAACTTGTCGTACAACAGCTTGAGTGGCCGAATTCCTTCAAGCACTCAACTGCAGAGCTTTGATGCATCCAGCTTCATGGGAAACAAGGGACTCTGCGGCCTACCATTGGATGTGAACTGCAGCAGCGAAAACAACTCTTCTGGTGAAGGGAATGAGGTCTACTGGTATGATATGGACTGGTGGTACTTCATCAGCATCGTGCTTGGCTTTCTGGTTGGCTTTTGGGGCGCAGTTTTCCCAATTGCAGTTTACCCAAACTTGAGAAGCTTGTATTTTGGTTTCGTGGATCACATGGGGAACAAGCTCGGTACTTTATTGATGCCTAGCGCTGGTGGATCCCTTCCTGCTTCACGAGGATGATTCCTGCAGGTTATTAGTGCAAAGACTTTGTTTCTATGGTTTGAAGCAACTCCGTCTATCTCTTAGAACGTACTCTCGCAAAGTGCATAAACGTTCCGTACGTGATTCAATGACGAAGCATGTTCTTGTAGATGATGTTGTGAATACCATAGATAATTTTTTTTAAGAATTTAATCATCACGATGCGATTCTGAAAATTGAAATGATAGAGATTTCACTCTGTTAATTTATTTGATTGGACACAATTTATTAAGTGTATACATTACCACGTACTTCAAAGATTTATATGGTGTTAATAAAACTTCAGGAACCATATCAACGATGATTATGCTCCCAACCTAACATCTTGATTCAAATTGAAAAGACCTCTTATGTCTTATCAACTCTTCCTCTTTTCACTTGTCCTTTCATCGAAGAAAAGAGATGAGAGGTGGTGGCAAGTGGCAACCCACCACAACTCCAAAAAGAAGCATCCCATGAAAACACCATCATCATCGCATTTGTCATTTTTCCCATTGCTTTCCTTAAACAAAAATCGCCTTCCCCTTCCCACGCTTGTCTACAACAACATGATTCAATCCCATAATCCCTTTCACCTTCCACTCCATTTCTCCTTCAATCTTCTGTTGCTATCTTGGCTTTCAAAGCACAGAACACTTTTGTGTCTTGTGTGCACCCACCAAGTGAAAGTTCCTGCAATAATTTGGTTCCCCACAACAAGCATCTAAAACAGGGTTGGGAATCCATATGGGACTAGGATTGGGTAATCTCAACATTTTCCCCCAAAAGAAGAAAACCCATCTGAGGAAAACATTGATTTTGATATCAGTCAATTTTTCGGACATAGAAGCTCTCATCTTTTTAAGCTCCAAGGTCTGTAGGTCACCCATCTCCATTATTGTTGCTTCCCCACTCCATCACCAATCACTGTTTCAGGGATATGATGGAATCCTAACAATGCACCCTTCCATATTCCTTCCCAATCAATCAAATCCCAAATTCACTGTCTTTTAGTAGGGTTCAACTTCAAACAAGTTCCGTTGGACCACACTACCTCATACAGTAAATACATCACTCGCTGTACTTTCATTCTTGTCAAAAAGTAGTTCTTCATGTTTAAACATTTACCCATGAAAGATTTTTTCTCAGAAGATTAGACCATATATAATATATGTAGAAGTAAAAGAAAAATTAGATAATACACATTCCATACTGCTGCTATACCATGCTACTCAGAAACTGAAGCCCAAAAGAACCCGAAAGAGGGGGAAATGTCAAATGGGGTATCTGGGAAATGTACTCTTACTGGCATTTCTCTCTCTTTTTGAACCAGACTAGGCTTCCTTCTCTTCATCATCCTTAGGCCGAGTTGAAGAACTCGAACCGGATGTCATTCCAATCACCTGTCCTTGTGTAAACCTCTGCAACTGAATCATCCGAGCATAGATCCCATCAGGGAAGTTCTTCAGTAGATGCGAATGAGACCCTTGCTCAGCCACTTTCCCATCATCAATCACAGCAATGGTACTAGCATTTCGTATAGTAGACAGCCTGTGAGCCACGATGATCGTGGTCTTCCCCGAGCAAGCTCGGTCAAGAGCCTCCTGGACTGACCTCTCCGATTCTGCATCCAATGCACTCGTTGCCTCGTCGAGTAGCATGAGCTCTGCCTTCCTCAGCAAGGCACGAGCAATGGCGATCCTCTGCTTCTGCCCGCCAGACAATTGCACCCCTCTTTCCCCTACGTATGTCTTGTACCCATCGGGCAATGAAGAGACAAACTTGTGGGCATTTGCTAGAGTCGCTGCCTCAATGATCTCTGCCTCGGATGCTGAGTCGTGGCCATAGGCGATGTTCTCATAAATGGTGGTGGCAAATAAGCATGGTTCCTGAGGCACTACAGCAATGTGCCGCCTCAAAGACTTCAGATTATACTTCCGAATGTCCTTCCCGTCGATCATCACTCGCCCTGACGATGGATCGTAGAAGCGTTGTACCAATGCAATGACTGAGCTCTTGCCGGACCCACTGGGTCCCACAAGAGCCATGGTCTTGCCAGCTTTAGCTCTCAAGCTGATATCCCTGAACACAGGGATATCTGGGCGACTTGGGTAGGAGAAGTCAACATGCTTCAGCTCCACCTCTCCGCGCAACCTGTCAGGGGCTGGAATGGAGTCTGGTTCGTCCGGTTCGATCTCAGTCTTGCGATCAAGTAGCTCGAAGACGGAGCGCATGGCTCTACCTCCCTTGATGAAGTCCGGAGCTAGAGTGAGGGTCTCGGCGGCACCATTGGCAGAGACCATGAGGACCATGAAGACTCGGATTGTTTTGGAGAAGTCTGAGATGCCGTGCTTCACAAGCCAAGATGCATACCAAAGGCCAAGAGCGTAAGAGGCATAGAGAGCGAACTGAGCTATGCCGTATCCACTTCCAGCAATCTGTCCCTTCCAGAAGCATCTCCGGAGAGGGACTTCGAGGTTGCTGGAGAAGAGGCCAATGATTTTGGACTCGGAGTTGAAGGCTGCAACTGTTCTCAAGTTGGCTATGGCCTCGCCTGCCAGCTGTGTGCCCTTGGCATGGGCTGCTTCTAGGTCCCCTGAGAAGCCTTGCATGAACATTTTCTGTTGAAATCGCAATGAGAAACAACATTCATGTCATTTCATTTGTAAACAACTACATTGAAGATTTTGAGGAAAACAGTAAGTTTGAGACACATTACCTGCAAAACAGTAGCTGCAACAACCACAGGGAAGACAGCTATTAGCACAAGGGCAAGCCTCCACTGCAAGACAAAACCTGCAGTGCAAGCGACCAGCAAGAGTGCAGTATTCTGCACAATCACCGATATTCTATCTCCAATTGCTGATCTAACATTGTTCGCATCGAGAGCCAATCTCGCAGCAATTCTGGCACTCTCATTATCCTCCTGATCAAACCATGCCATTTCATTTTTAAGCACAGCTGCAAGCATCTTCTCTCTCACCCTCTTGGTCAGATTCTCTCCAACAATATCCCAGAAGGAATGCTGCAGAGTGTTAAAGATTAAGGCAGCCGACGAGAGGCCGATGAGCAAGTAGCAGTACTTGGCGATTTCTCTGATCATGTAAGCATGGCTGGGGCTGTAATAGATACTCATGACGGCACTCAGCACGTATGCAAAGAAGGCGCTGAGGGACCCACAGATGATCGAGCCTATTGAGCCAACTAATGCATAGCCCAACTCGGGAGAGTTCATCTTGGCGAGTCGCCAGAAGGAGCTGGCCTGCTCCTTGAACGCGAGCTTCTCGTGGCGGTAGCTTGGATGCATGCCGTCTAATGAGAGGCTGAAATCCGAGGTGGAGAAGTCGGAGAGGCGACGGGAGTATGGAGAGCGGCCATAGGAGGAGTTTCGTGCAATGATTGGCGAGCTCACAGAGTTCCTAGCACTCGATGGCCTACAACAAAGAATACAACATTTATCAGCAAGCATGCCAAAAAAAGATGGCAGATAGGTTGGGAAAGGAAAGTTTAGCTAGCTACCTGGCACTGCTCTTTCTAGCATTGTTCATCGCTGTCTCGTGTGCTGCCTCCTGCATCCTAATAAGCTTGGCATAAACACCATTCTCTCCCTTGGCAAAGAGCTCGTCATGGGTCCCAATTTCAGTGACAGAACCTTGCTGGAGAACTGCTACGAGGTCAGCCTTCCGAATGGTCGATAGCCGGTGGGCAATGACCAAGGTAGTCCTTCCTATCATGAACCTGTCCAGAGCTTCCTGCACGAGTTTCTCCGATTCAGAATCCAACGCACTCGTTGCCTCGTCGAGGAGAAGAATAGCAGGGTTCTTCAGCATTGCCCTCGCTATAGCTATTCTCTGCTTCTGCCCACCTGAGAGCTGCAGCCCTCTCTCTCCCACCTGCCATTGAAGGAGAGTAACAGTGAGGGTTAATTGAGATTCTTCCATCGTTTTCTGCCAGAAATTGTTAATCTTTTCTTGTCTAATACGAAAGATGTCATCTTGACCACCAACTTAGGGAATAATCCGTTGGGGTTTACTCTAAACCTCCCTTGTCTGTCAGCATCTTAGCTGCTAGTAAGATTCTAACCTGCCTCCTATTTCTTTATTTGGTTTCTACCCTACAAATTTTGTAAGCTTATGGGTCCTCTCCTTTGCTTCTGGGTTCTGCCATTAGTATACAGTAGTACCTGATTTCAGCACATGCAATGTTGACCAGAACATGTTACCTTCTAAATGCATGCAGTGCCTAAATCACATCCCCCACATTTGACTTCCTAACAAAGCAATTTTTAATACAAGTTAGGTCCATAGTTTTGTTGACTATATAAACAATTTCCAAAATTTTGATCCCCCCCTTGATTGTAACGATAATAATAATAATAATATCCTTTGAAAACCACCCCCACAATTTCGATTATTAAAAAAATATACCCATTATACAAATTGGTCAAAAGAGACCCATCATTTCATTTCACCATCCCAAACCGACCAACTTTACCCCACATAAGGCCACAACCCTCCACCCTTTCCTCCACCTCCAACTGCCATAAAAAGACAATCACTTTGTTTACCTTGCACTTAATCAGCCTCATAATCACGGTTTTGAATCAAATCAAACGTGCTTTGGACAACCATAATGACAAAATGGGGTGACATAATTGGATTTAGATTTTCTTTTTTACCTGCGTATCAAAGCCATCTGGTAACTTGATGATGAATGAATGAGCATTGGCCACTCTTGCAGCTTCTTCAACCTCGACCTGATCAGCATCTGGCCTTCCCAGCAGTATATTCTCTCTAATGGAGGTTGCAAACAGGGCAGGCTCTTGGCTCACTAGCCCTATCTGCTGCCTCAACCATCTCAGCTTCAATGTCTTGATGTCGTGCCCATCTAGCAGCACTTGGCCTAACCCACGAAAACCCAGTAGGGAAATTGGAAAAGGGAAAGAACACATTTTGCGATCAGGACCAAAAACATCTCCAGTTGCAAGGAAACAGTCGGGCAGATGCGCATTCATTTTGTCGAACACATGGTGTGCACACTAGAATATGAACGAATTGATAAAAAAGAAAGTAATGAAAGAAATTTTGTATACCTGATTCAGGATCGTAGAACCGTTCGATTAGGGAGACCACCGTGCTCTTGCCGGAGCCGCTGCTGCCGACTAAAGCTATGGTCTTTCCGGCGGGAACAGTGAGTGAGAAGTTATTGAGGATCCGAACATCTGGCCTAGATGGGTAGGAGAAATCCACGTTTTTCAGCTCTACTAAACCGGTGACTGAGTCTAGCTCGACCCCTGACTCGCTGTTCCGGTTCACCGCCGGCTTGTGGTCGATTATGCGGAAGATTTTCGCAGCGGCGACTCTGGCTTTCGCAAATGCGCTCATACTCGGGGCAGCTTGTCCCAATGCCCTGCGGATTTCGGCAATTTGAGGACCATGACGGGAAAAGGAAGGGAGGAAAGTTGGAGAATGAGAGAAAACAGAGTACTTACAGTCCTCCAATCATGACGGCGAACATGGTGGAAATGGCGAGCCCGCCATTGGTGTAATTATGCCGGACGAGATACCCGCCGTACCAGAGAAGAAGCGCATAGCAACAGAAGACGACGAAGTAAGTCCCGCCAAGTCCAAGTCCTTTCGCTACTCCACTCTTGTACCCCAGCTTCTGGGCGGTTCTCAACGCCGCTGAGTAGCCCTGGAGCGATTTCGATTCGCCGACGTACGCCAACACAACCCGAATTTGTACCACCGTCTGCATTTTCCCAGCTCAAAATTAATCCCGCCCAGGTGACGAAAATTTGATAAATCGGGATCAATTCGGACTGTGCACTGTACCTGTTCGACGATATTCCCAGCTTCCGACAGAGCTTCTTGGCTCTTGGCGGAGAGCTTAGCAAGCGTAGTCGTGTGAATAGCTGCGATTACAGCAATGAGAGGAACGACGGCCAGAGTGACCAGAGCTAACTGCCACACGGCTGTGAATCCCACCACGAACCCGGAAACCAATGTCGCCATGTAATGGATGAAATTGCCCAGCTGCGAACAAGAAAGAAACCATTTTTAGTTAAAAAAAGGAAATCCAGTAGCAGAAACAGAGCAAAGTTCCTCTGTTTTTCTTCTTCTTCCTCTTCCCATTCCTCTCACCTTCTCGCTAATGGCGTCCTGGACTGTAACTGCATCGGTGTTAATGGCGGAAACGACGTCGGAGGTCCGAACTTCAGTGTCGAAATACTCAATGTCCTGGTTCAAAGCTGCTTCCAAAAACTTAATCCTCATCTTCGTCGTTTGCCTCTCACCAGTCCACATCCAACATGAAATCTCTGCAAAAAGTAAGAAAACATCCCAATTCAAGCTCAATTCACAGACCTTGAAGATTACTGAACATGGAAAACCATAATCAAAACCAGAAAATATTTTCCCTTACCTGCCCACGAGGATGCCCAGATTGCAGCACCAACAACCAGAAAATAGGAAGCATACTGCAAAAGAAAAACCAGAAGAAAAAAAAACAGAGAATTAAGAACTTAAAGTTCGAAGCTTTATGGTGACATTCTGCGTTATTTGACATTCTGAAACTTGCTCCGTTTCCAGTCTCTACCTTCAAAACTTCCTGAGTCATCTTATCCATATCATTGGCATTAGACCCAAACGAGTTAACGAGATCGGCGAAGAATCGGAGGAACAGGGGAAGAGAGCATCCATGGACGAAAGCGCCTACCGACCCAATTCCCATCAACACGTAATCCAATCCATCGGCAAATCTAAATAGCTCCTTGAACCCGACGGCGGTGACTTTCCCTGTCTTCTCCCCTCCATCGCCGGCGACCCTGCCCCCGCCGGAGCCGACATTCTCCTTCTTGTCACTACTACTAGTATCATTGCTATTGCTGCCGCTTCCCATGTCTCGTCTCTCTGCGGCGACTGATTGTTTGTCTTGTTCGTGTGGTGAAGAAGATGAATTGGGGGCTAGAGAAGGAGTGGGAGGGGCAGAGACGAGCTCAAGGCCTTGCATTTCAGACCATTTCCACTGCTCAATCGGATCTTCGTCTTGTGACATTTATTTATGTAGAGGGATTGAAGAAAGAGAAGAGGGGTTTGGAAAGTCTCCTCCTTCCTCTCTCACTCCTCTCTCTGTCTCTTTCTTCTGCCTGTGGAAGGTTTATAATTGCAAACAAGAAAACAAAAGGGAAAAAGGAAAAACCTCCATAGCCTCACTCACCTCACCACCACCACTTCTCTCTCTCTCTCTCTCTCTCTCTCTCTCTCTCTCTCTCTCTCTCTCTCTCTCTCCTCTTCTGGTTTTCTTGATTTCCCACTCTGCTCCCGCTTTTTTATCTCCCTCCCATTCTCGCTCACTTCAGTCGTGTGTCAATTAAAGAAATGGCCACTCAACTTTTTGGTAATTGACAAGTCAGTCCTTAAATTTTGTTTTGTGACAAATCAAGAATAATAATATAATCGCTTTATTCATCTTCATAATGATTTTGGCCAATTTTTGAAGGTTAACATGTCAACTCCTAAACAATAATGAAAATGATTACATAGCCACGGTTTAGCTTAGGCTAAAGGCTCATTACATTATCTTATTCCTTAGTAATAAGATCAGGCAATACTTGACCTAACTCAAAGATATATTACCTGAAACCATAGTCCCCTGATTTGGTAGCTAACTTGAGAGGGTTTATATGACATTTTACATTACTAGTCTCCGATGAGTGAATCATTTACTAATCATATTCAATATAATCACTATCGTTAATCGTAGCGGTTTTTCCTATAGACTCATTGCATGATCTTACTCCACGGTAAGACCAACGAGAACCTGATCTAGCTCAAAGATATGTTACTTGAAATCACCATAACTTCTTCGTCCAAAGTCCCTTAACTTGGTAACTGACTAAAAAGGGTGTATATGAAATTTTCAATTATGTCGAGTAAACCATTTACTAATTATATTCAATATAATCACTATCGTGGAGGCTTTTTACGGTGCATGATTTAAATGGAGTTAGATTGCACATCAGACACCAAGTCGATAAAATTTTATGAAAATTTATTTTTGTGCTTATGTTATTATTTGAACAATACAATTATCGATTCAACCCTCAATTATAATTTATATACATTAAAAATTCCACTTTTCAGAGTTGCCAGATTGATCGACACTAAAAACATATGTTAACTGTTAAGTACATTCATTGAGCGGTCTATTTTGCAAAACTGATATCAATGTTTTTCAAAATGAAGTATTTAACTTTACATTGTTAATTCATAAGAGATAAGAAAAAAGTTAATTAGCGATACACATGAGACGGAATTGGTGATACGTAGACAACTATGACTACACTATTAGGACATGACTACCCATTTGTCATTCACCTTTTGTTCTCTCATGCTTTCAACTCACACCATGGACTGTTTTGCGAGGGAGGAAAACAAGTGTTGAAAGCGCAATGACTTGATAATGGATGGGATTTTGATCATCGTCATTATTATCATCATTTTTCATTGAATATAGTATATATGGTATGGCCATTTTTGCTTGTAGTGTAGAAAACATACAAAAGAAAGTGACGGAAGATGAGATTTGCAGAAGAAAGAGAGAGGTTTTAATTTCCCACCCGACAAACAAACGCACACTGATTCAGCAGTACTGAGATTGGAGAAGAAGAAGGGCAGGCAGGCAGAGGAATTTTGAGTTTTGACCAAATGGAGGATTTTGATCAGGGCTCTGCTGATCTGCCCATTAACTCTTTGCTTGGTTGCATGCTTCCCTTTTTTCCCCTTTATGATGTGTTGTTTTCTTGTTGTTTTGGGCTTTAGACCCCTTTTGTTTTCCTTGCAAAAAGTGCATGCTAGCTAGCTAGGTGCTTTTACTAGTTGTTGGTGCTCAGTTTGGTTCTTGAGAAATCTTCATATTGATTTTGAATCTTCTAATTAAGTTTATAGGGTTTCAATAAAACAAACATCTTAAACTTCATATGGTAGGATTCTCGATTAAAATGTAATATACAGTATGAACATGTATGTTGTGTCACGATAAGATTAAAAGTAGTTCGCTATTTAGCCATAAGAAGTAGAGACCATTCCTTTTCTCATATATGTTTCAAAATGTACTGAACGAGCAAGGAAATGGGTAGGTGATGAGTGGGTGGAGCTGAGCAATGTCCTAGCGAGTAGCGACCGTTCTATTTCTCATATATGTTTCAAAATTTACTTATGTTTTCAACAATTGCTCCGAATTGCCCCTTCCCCCCTCCCCCATCACATTATAGCCCCACCATTGTTGTTACAGCCTTACAGAAGTCTCTTGTCTTGTAGACTCTCTTCGATCGAGTTCTTGTTATTTCGTTGAATGATCGGAATATTACACGACTAAGTTATATAAGAGATGGGTATGAATTCACTCAACACATCCACTCTTTATGTACACTTATTTCACCTACAATTGTTAACTATCAATTTCCAACTAGAAGAAGCATGAAGTGGGTGGTGGTGGTGGTTCCTCTCAACCCGGCGCCCTTTCCTACCGGCGCCAGTAAAAATCCCCAACTGTTCATTAACACCGCCCAGCTGCTTGCTGACTGCTCTGCTCTTTCTCCTGTGCACCGTCCAATTTTGTTTAAAAAAAAACTTTTCTGTACCAATCAAATTGTAATAAGTTGTAACTGACTTCCAACTGTTGTATAACAAGGTGGTTGTATTTTTATTTCGATTTCTGAGTCATGTTTGACTGATCTGAACATGTAAAAATAAGACTGCAGCAGCAGCATAATACTCCCCCAAAAATAATATATAATCCACCTCGTGAGATGCAAAATATTAGTAGAAACTGTCGGTCGGTGGAATAATGTGAACTAAAAACTGAGCCAGTTTTATTGTGTCAAAGTTGGGCAGATCGAGTAGTTGCCATTTTTCACGGCTAGCCTGTTGGTCCAAGTCCAAACCCACCATGTTGTTATTGCTAGTATCATTGAGAGTTCAACCATCTTTTGCAAGCTAGGAAAATAAATGGCTCTCTCGAGATTAAGGTGTCTTCCGAAGTTTAGGCGTCGTTAGCTGTATTTGATGTCCTTGAAAATGAATCCTAATTTCGTACAATTATTACAGTTTTTTTTTTTGAATCTAGTCAGTTTCATTTATGATTACGTACTCTCGTTGTGAGTCCCAGAAAATGTAGTGACATCTGGATCTGTTTCGTTATAGAATCACGCCATCTTCCAATATTTTCATAGGTGTCAACCTTTCAAATCTTATAATCTGGTTGCCAAATCTCATACCGAAGATAGTGATTTATTACCACCAATAAGAACCAATTCTTGATAGTTCATAAGTGATAGTTTAGCGAAAATAAGTTAACAAAATCGTCTGAAACTCTCGACTCTCGAGATACTCAATTTAGACTAGAGTACTTTTCGCCCATCGTGATGATCATGTTGCATGATTAAGAAACAAATCTAGTTCAGCTAAATCATTATCCTCTACCACTATATACCACATTTCAACTTCTTTTCACTCATTTCACATTGAGAAAATGTGAAATCCTTTTTAATATCAGAATTACACCTTTATTTTTCCTTGACTTATATATTTTTTTTTCTGTATGTCAGACCAAAACAAACTAAACTACACATGCAGATGCAGATGCGAACGCCATTTGTAATATTGATACTAGATGTTCGCCATACTTTGTTCCCTATGGGGATAAATAAATTAATTCAGCTGCAGCAGATATTAAAATAGTGAATTAATTAATTCGGGGAAAATTTTGTCAGAAAAATCCTGGGACAAAATCTTGGGCGGCAAATATTTACCCCTAATTATTTTTATATATTTTGAGAAAATTGAACATTTTTTTGGTATTTAAATAGGTAATTAACAACTAGTTCAATTCACCTGTAAAATAACAGCAGCTAGTTCATTTTGAGGATTATATAATTTAGGAAAGATCCAACCATCAATTTTTGTAGATTCTTTGGTCAATTACATAAATGTTCACTGAAGTCCAAGGTCACTAATAAATGTACGTTATCAAATTTTAGTATCTAATCAACTTGTCACTGAAATTTGGATCAAATTCACCAAAAAACACAGTAATCAACTTTATTCATCTACGTTGAAGTCTTCAATTCAAATCATCTAAATTAGCCAGTCAACTTAATTTCAGAAATCGAAGCTAAATCATCAATTTGTTTCTAATCCTAAATTAGTAAACCTACATGACCCTAAAATGTCCACACACAAAAAAAAAAAAAAAAAAAACACCAACAACTCAATATATGTCAAACTCGTATAAACTCATCATATATTATACTCAATAACATAAAAAAACCATCAGAACTCTGCACAAAAATTTGAAACAACATGTTGATCATCATTAACAAAGCTAATCAATAAACCCCAGAATCAATCAACAACAAAAAAAAAAAAAAAAACAAGAAATTCAAAACAACTAGAGAATCAATACTCTTTGTACAAATTGCTTTAAACAAAAACAAAAAAAGGGTTCTGTTGCTTGGTCAGAAAGCTGGAAGCTTGGCAGAGGTCAGCCATTGTTACATAAACAAAGGGAGCAGAGCTTGCTTCAATGATGCCATCTTTCTCCCCCCCACCATGTTTTGGAGTTATATATTACCAACTGAACTGAACTCGGTCAGCAGCAGAAAGAGTCTCTCTCTAGCTCTCCATTTCTTAGCTTAAAATAAGCAAAACCCTCCTTAAAACCCTACAACCTGACATCCCTGCAAATTCCCAGAAATGGTGTGTGGTAATAATCATACAGTTCATTCCTCTTTATTTTCCAAGTTAGGGTTTTAATTTTAGTTCCAATTATTATGTCACCAAGTTTCCTCATTGGTGAAAGCTCGGCATTCAATTCAGGGGAAAGGTCTCTGTGAGCATTTCCCTCTCTGTTTTTCTCTCTTTCGTTCTTTCTTTCTTCTCTCACGCTTACGCCTGCAGTGACTGATCAAAGAGTGAGTACGATTCTCCCCTTCACGCACGGGCTCCTTGTCCAATTCCCATGCAAACTCTCTGCTCCACCAGTACTTCACTTTCGCTACACCACTTTAACTCCATGCTTCATTCGGACTGAAAGGTGGGAGACTTGAACTTTAGCTTAGCTAGCTAGCTCGACCAATGTAGTCAAGAAAGATGGTCATGGACGGTTCAAAGATGGTTCTTTTTCATTGCTAGATGGTGTGCAAGACTAGTTTTACAAGGCGGTCATGCAACCGTTTTTACCGTGACACGACAGACACATGTATCGGTCGTGCATTACGGTGTTCATGATCTTCAAATGATCTGACTT